AAATAACTCCAGAAACCCAGAGAGAACAAATACAAAGAAGGGCCAACGTTCGAACTCGAGGACTTTTTCTAGAACTGACAGTGCTTACCACTTAGCCGCATGCTGCCCCTGAATGAACGGAACACACTCGTGTGACAGATTTATGTTGTTTGTGCCCTTCTCGTCTGCACTCCGTCCAAGACCTTGTCCTGATGTGTCACATTTGGCAGTAAAGAGCCCTTTTTTATTTCGTCCACTGGCCCTGGAAGTCATCATCTTAAATGACAGGATGAGTTGTTTGTCAGTGACTTCTTAAAGAATGGTATGATGGTAGAAATATGATGGTAGCTTGGCAAATGATCACATGGACATAAGTGTAATTGTTGACCAATTGTGAATTGAGTCTCACAGTTTCAATCTTTACCATATGTTTTCAAAAATATATAGCCGAATTAACATGCATTCAGGCTTCAAAAAGATCTGTAGTGCCATTAATAATTTGTTAATTTCAGTGTCACAATATCACAATGTAATTCATTTGAGAATGTTCTCGAATAACCGATCAATAATCCGAGCCTTGGGCAGCTTTCTTGCAAACAGTCCACCCTGACATCCTTCAAGAGGCCAGACCTACACCCACATTTATTTCAGTGAGGCCACTTCGTGAGTGGGGGTGTTGCCGTTAGATCCCATTGTAATAGAAGCAGCTCTGATGTTTACCTTCAGACTCTCAAGACGGAGGCCAAAGTGTTTGATGATTACTTTAGAGAGTCGTAAATTGTGGTGTTGGTGTCAGTTAAGCTCTCATACCCATGAACCCATTTTTCAAACTGGCCTTCCTGGATCAGATTTGACCAGTAATTAAAGGCAACACCAATGCAAACCATTTGACAAACCGAACACCTTTTGAGATGTGCTGTTTCATATTGATGATGATTTATTTTCTAGGCCAACCTGGAAATAAGCATCACAAGGGCTCCCTCAACAAAAAGCAATTGGATTTCTCCATTGGATTCTGAAACACTGAAGAAAATAAGATATAAGATAAGAAAGATAATCTTCACTTATTTACCCCATGCTTATGATTTTTTAAGCATAAAAGTAACTGCAAGAAAAAAGAAGCTAATGTTTGGATATAAACAAACTACATCACGGTTGCATGACTGTCTGTCTAAATGTGGCTAATGTTCGGCATGATGATGTTTAGTAGTCTCAGTTAGCCACGTGTTAGCAATCGCTGTTTTTATTACACCCCTACTGTTAGAAAAATCTCACTCGCCACCGGTTTGAGCTTCAATATCAGGATAGATTTATTTATTATCCTTGCAAGGGTGGAAGTAGTGTCCTTGTCCTCATGCTTATATACTAGAGAGTGTTACTACAGTCACAAGATGCAGAATACTGGTTCAAAGCAGTATTCAATGTTTACTTCAGATTAGCTAAGGCCTGCGTAAGCAATAAACATGACAGTCATATTTCTATCTCCATAGAGGCTGAATCACCATTGTTAATCGTTGTCACATAGCTATCATGTGCCTAAAACAGTGTCCTGACGCTCTTCTAGGTAATCACCTGTTACACAGCTACATAGGGCCTTTGTTATCATGTGCTACTCTGATATTAAAGGAGTACATTCAGTATTTTCCCAACAGTAACTGCAGGGTTTGCAGAGTCAGTCTGACCAGAGCCTGTTTTCTTGTTCAAAGTAGACTACCAAAAATAAGCATCATGGTGTTAAAAATATGCAAACACTTCAAGTTAGAATAATCTATAGACGAGGAAGGAATAGACCATGACAGTACACTTTTCAGGATCACAGATTAATTTGAATTCAATTTGGTGCAACACTAAAAAGTAGGTTGGCTGTCTTATTTATAAACGACTTGTTTATAGTTGGCAACATGAACTAGCATGATGTGTTACTACATTTAGCTGTGTTGTCTACTTAGGCTTAGCTGGAAGAATTAATTATGGATTCCCTGGCTCTAGCACCTAAAGTATAACACCCAGTGTTTGTGTGGAAGTGTCTGTGTGTCTGTTTGTGAAACATTTGTACGTTTAGGATGTGCATCTGTTGCGGACTATTGCCAGTCATTGCCATCCGCAGCCTACTGGTAAATAATTGTCTGTGTTAGACTCAAACATGGGGTTTCATGCTAATCTGCCTTGTTTTGTCGTTATCCTCCCCGCAACCCTTCCCCTTCTCTCCATTTTCGCTCATTATCTGTCGTCTGGTTTTCACCTCACTTTATCCTTATCCTTTGTATCTAATTTGTCTCCATCCCTCCCTCTCTCTCTAACACCATATCTCTCTCTCCGTTTCGTTCTCCAGCCCAGCGTTGTCCACAGTGGAGCTGTTCATCGCTAACTAGGCTGCCTCCAAGCCCACAGGTACGTCGGCTCCCCTCCTCCCCCCTCCACTTCATGCTCTATTTTTAACTCCACTCGGCAGGATCCTTCCCCATGATTCTTCTCTCTCTCAACCCAACTCACATCTCTGTCAACTCCTCTATACCCTCCCATCCAAGAGGCTAGGAATCTGTGGCCTAGTACATGTTTATTAATTTATGACCATCCCTGCTCTTATTTTTTAATCTTAAAAAATCGCTGCTTCAACCATATTTTACCATCTATTAAATGGCATATTTTATTTCAATTAGATGCTTTTTAGCTGAGGATTTATATTCTTTTACATCATATTATAAGATATACATTAAGTGTATTGGCTAGAAAACACATATAAAGTCTTTCTTTTACCCCTTCTGATGATATGGTTATGATTAGGACACAGCCCCATCTAAAGCACATGTAGTGCATTGAAACCTGCTGAGAGCCACACTGATTTAAATGACTGGATAAGCAGTGGATATGTTCATTCATGTCTGAAGCGGTTTGCTTTGTTAAGCTGCTACCTAGCCTCGCATGAAGCCTGGCAGCAATCTCCGCCCCCCTGCTGGGTGGAAACATAATGCTCTTGTTGGCCTCGTCAGCTCCCTCCTTTTAGCCTCTTGTCTTTCAAGACCGCTCTACTGGCTTTTCCCAATGCGTATCCTCCTGACAAGAGCTTACAGCACATAACCTCCTCCAGTGGATGAGTAGCACATGCGTGAAGTGCCCTTTGTTTCTGTGGGAAGACCATGTTGACTTTATTATATACTGGTTGAGTAGGTGTGCAGTTTTCTCACGTAAACAATTGTTGAAGTTATTTACATTTCTGTGATGGTAAAGAATAGGTTGAAATCGATTGAACAGGATCAACTTCATAGCTTTTGAGTAACACTCTACATTTCCATACAACACAATGCATTCTCAATTACTGAAATGTCATTTTGACCGTATTACTGTTGCTGTTTCATTCATGCTTTAAACTTCGTAAACCTGAAAAAAACGTCTTTGTTAAGTTAAAAAATAGAATACTTGGGCATTAAATAAATGTGTTACATCATTTAAGAAACAGGTGGCCCTCGAAAATATCTGACAAGGCAGTTTTGTCATGCAGTAAAATACCAGGCTGCCAGAAGATACCGTTGCTTGTGACTCAACTTATCCTATCGGAGGAGATCCCATAATAAATATAATGTAACTAGATAAATTCATGCAACATTGATTCTCACTGATATACTTTCTACTTAGCTGTTGTCACCCTTGGGCTTGTAAGGCTTATTGGAGGACTACAGACAAAATAACATTTTTCTTATGAATAGGGTTTTTGTTCCCATGGTTACACTGTTTCTCTTTGATGTGAACCATTTACATTTATATGAACTTGATCAAGGTTGTCTTTGATACAAAAGGAAGGAGGGATAGCGAGAAGAAAAGGCTAGATTGAGGCTCTTTTAAAAGTAATTGAAGCCAGGCTTTTGCCCATCGGCAAACATTGTTGGATTTTAATGATGGCCTCTCAAGAACAGATTACAGTTTAAATAACTGCTGACTTAAATGATGAATTTCCATTTTCTGTTATGTGGTACAGACAATTGAAAGGGCTGGCCGTGTCTGGGGTAAACAACATTTTGTCCGCCTCTGCAACGCGTTCTGACTCGGTAATGATCCTCGTCTGTGCTCCCAGAAGTGGAATCTAGGACTAAGGATAGACCTGCCTTGCATCATTCCTCCCTGATTTCCCCATGCGTAACCTGCACAGGTAGAAGGCTACAGGAAAATACATTCGTCAAACTCGCTGTCCTTCACGCCTATAGACAGCCGGTGTCAATGGGAGGCTTTTGAGTTATTATGTGCCTTACCAAAAGAATCATGCAGCCAGTTTTTATGTAGGTTTTTGAAGGATTTTTACACACACAGGCACTCAAATACACCCGCACATTATCTGTGTGCCTGCCTCCTGCCGTAGCACATCTCTCCCTCTCCGAGTACTCAGTCGTTGCCTCTCAAAGTGGCATGCTGAGATAATGCACACAATAACGCTGCCAAAGTTGTGATGGTGCATGCTGCACGGCATTGAATGAGCAGCAATCATTTCAGTGCACTCACAAATGTGCTTAAAACAAATAATGTATACCCATGCCCTGAAAAACATGGTGCGGTATGTTTGTATCATGTCAACCCCCTTTTTTTCCCCTGTGTTGTTTCACTATGCGTATAGCTCAATACTGTAGGACTGACACTTATAAGCAGACTTTAGATGATTGACTCATTCTATCTTGGACATATTTCTGGTGAAAGCATGAGTGTAGCTGTGTTATATATTAAATATAGGAAACAGATATGTAAATTGTCTGTTTCCTATATGAGCCACAAGGGCCCCTCTGGCCCTGTTCATACCTGCTATTAATATGTGCCATTTGTGATTCGATCACATGTGGTGCAGGTGTAAATTCAAATATTATAATTCTGCTGCACTGGACAGATCGGACTCCTTCCTGCGTACTCTCATCCTTGGCTCTGTTTCTCACTCATTTTGAATCTAAGTCATAAATAGATTATTTTTACACTATATATAAATAGTTTGCCCTTTTCTCTTTCCAATTCATGCATACCATTTCTCCTCCTCTACGCTTTTCTCATCCTTCCTTTCTCCTCTGGTCTATGCCTTCTGACAGCTGAGGTACCCTGCAGCCTGCCTTGGCCAGGTAGAGCACTAGATGAAAGGTTTGCAGCCAGAGATCTCTTTCAAAGAGGCCTTCTGTTGCATCCGTGCTCTCCATGGGCGCTCGGTTGACCCTGCCAGGCAGATGGAGATAAAGAGGGTAAGGAAAGGTAAGGAAGGAAGGAAGGGTTTAAGATTGAAGGAAAGATATTGGAGACAAACAGCAGCAGAATAAAGAAAAAGAGAGAGTGAGGCCTTGAAATGTTGCCTTACTCCAGATTCAGAAGCTGCTGCACCTGACCTGTAGATGATCAGAAGGCTTGGCATCCAGGTTAGTGCAGCTAGAGGAAGTGATGTGCCCTTGCTTTCACTCTGAGTCAAGTTTAGAGCTCCTTTTACACATCCGCAGTTTGGAGGTCGCCACGGGACATGTAGAGATTTTGAAAGTCTTCCTGATCCTGACATGTTTTTATCATCTGATGTCTTAGAGTCACACTGAGGTCTGGGTTCAGTTGAAGAAGAAACATGTTGTGCCCATAACAAAATCCTGTGCACTTAACTCCTTCAGGTGAAATGTAATGGCTTGTTTGGCTTCAGTCTGGATCTTGATGTCCTTTTTGTATCTACTCTGGATTTGGTTTTGCAACAGTGTAAGCGGGTTGCTCCCTCAAGTTCAAATGTATTTATCAAAGAGCCAAACTACAAACATATATGTCTCTGTGAAAGAAGTTTGATCTTCTGGAAATTCACTTGTTTAACATCTTGTTTTGTGATAAATTATTTCTTCTCGAACAAATAAATAGAATCCTTATCCAATTGAAAAAGTCAGCTTCCTCCATTTTTAACAGTTTTACAATTTGTTAGATTAAACCAAAGCAGCTTCATGCTTGCAAGTTCAAACACATTTAAAAGCTTCTGTCAGAAAAGTCATTGCCTTTAGAACATTAGAAAACATTAAGTCCAAAAAGAGATATTGTGTTTACTGTCACAATATAATCGACTTGTTTCTTAAGATAACCATCTGGTCCGTGATAGCATTCTGCTTGGTGATTGGACGGAGAACAAGCAGACTCTATGGTTTACCTACATAAATCTTCTCTGAAGACAAGCTAGATAATGCACTGTAGGTCTGAGCTGAGAGATTTAGCCTCTGGATGCTGCGGTGACAGGAGATATTGAGGGGAGGCATGCGGGCAGTAAAACAACTGACAGCTGGTCATTACGAAAGACGCAGGTGGGCCAAAAATCAATCACACCGAGACTGGCCTGGACTCTGACGGATGCCTGACGTCTGCTTGATGAAGAGCTCAGCTGTTCCTCTGAGTGATGGAGAGGAGGAGAGGGGAATGGAAGGGGCTAGAGCAGCAGAGGGAATTAGGTTGAGTTTGAGCATAAAAAAGAGGCATGAAGGAGCTGTGAAGACAATAATGAACCACTGAATCAGGGAAGGAGGAAAAAGGTTGAGGTACTGTATATGTTAATGAGCAGATATGTGGGTGAAATTCAAGGAAATGGGAAAAGGTCAGCATTTAAACGAGTAGAGGGCAAAAGGAGATGAAGCAAAGAAAAGATAAAAGACAGGCCGGGAGAACAAGGCTACAGTTACCGTAACAGCACTTTAACAGCAGTGCGTGCAGGCCGGAGTGTGTTCTGACAACACCTTTATAGGCTATTTCATGGTGTCTGCTCTAACTATATGAGAAAATATATCAAGTGTGAAAAGCCACTGCATTATTGGTCCACACTTAATAACAGCACATTATTTATTTATTTGTTGTTTTGTTTTTTTCAATGTTCTACTCTAGAGATCAATTGGAATTTTCTACTGAGGGCTGTAAATGAACTTTTAAAGGTCTACAAGAGTCCAATAAGATTAATTTCACACAGTTTGTAGTGAACTTTAGAAATAACTTGAATCAAAGACATTATTTGTATCATACTGCACATTCAGCTTGGTCTGCTCAACATTTCAACGTTATGGCTTATGCCTGAAATAAAGCTCAATAACTGGTAGCACTCTTCTGTTTTTGCACTTTCTCATGTGTGTCTGAGTGTCGGTAGCACAATACAGAACACATCCTTGCTGATGCTAATATCCTTTGTTGCAATTTATCTCGGCAGATTGAAAATCTTTTTAATATACAGAATTCATTGTTCGGCTTGTGTCCGTGTGGAAAGACTTCCTTTTTCTGTAGTACAATGAAATGAAACCGCAGCAAATAGAGGGGAGAGAGTTGTTGCGACAGGCAACAAACCTGTGGCAAATGGGAAAACATGTTTACAGAGCAAAAAGAGTACTTATCTAGTGAATCAATGTCAGCACAAGTATTCATAGCAAGGCCACCAAACAACATTCTGCGTTCGTCAGAGTTGGCTCCAATGCTTTCCCAGGCACTCGAACTCACAGTTAATTTGCAGAATTATTGATTCTGACAGTCTTTATTCACACACGATATCGTCAAAGGAGCCTCCAGTCACCTCAGAACGCCCTCCTTTCAAAGTCCCCTAACTAGAAGTAATTTGTTGGGACCACAGCCCAGCCCGGTAGGTGCAGCCAAAGGGGTTGTTCAGGTCAAACGGGATCAGTGTTTTCACAGATCACGCATCACGGCACAGCACATGTGCACGTCAAGAGAATGTGCCTCAAACAGAGTTGCCAAAATAATGAGGTAATTTGCTGCTCAACCAAGAATTAAGCAATTTGAAGAAAGTGAGTAGGACATGCAATCAGTGTTGAATATGAATTATATATTAGGGAAAAGATTGTGGGGAGTTTCAGTTGCTTATCCCTTAGGTCTAAAGTATGCATAAATCCTCCCTTTGCTACTACTACTACTTCTTTTTGGCAGTTCTCTTCTTACAGAAATAAGCGTGCTGAAAAGCTTCCTTTTGAAACTATAAATGTGTAATGTTGATCATCACTAACCACATAGTCCCTAGTAAATAGAAGAAATGAAAATCTGGAGTGAGAGGGGTAGATGAAATGCAGAGCCTACTCTGATTTGGATGCAACCATAGTGTGCTTGACATATGCTTGTGTATGAGAGACCATTACAAAACTGTTTGTTATGGTTTACTTCAATTGATTTCCAACAGTTGTTACACATTGTTAATGGTTCTGTTTTACACGATTTTCTTTTAAATTACAATGACATTACCTACAATCTTGCATGTCATTAACCATACTCGCATTCATATAGTGCACATGTACTTTTTACAATACACTATAGAGCAGGGGTGTCAAACTCAAGGCCCGGGGGCCAAATCCGGCCCGCCACTTCATTTTATGTGGCCCACAAGAGCTTGCAAAGAATATAATAAGTTTATTTTAATGTTACGTGCCGCTTTACAGGAGAACGTTGCCCATAAACTACATGTCCCACAATGCATCTCATTGTGTGACATGTGCAATGAAGAGACTTGCAATTATTTTCCCTAGACTTCTGCTTTCAGACATAGTTAATTATGAAGTTATTACCCTATCCGACAATAATCCAATGCGGAGGAAATATTGTAAAATAATACATTATTTTATATTTATTATGTATATTTATATAATCTTAAAGTTACCACCGGCTCTTTGAGTGCAACCATAATTCTAATGTGGCCCGCGATGAAATTGAGTTTGACACCCCTGCTATAGAGTCTTTAATGCACATGTTGGCTTCTCCATACTACCCCTTAATCTCTTTTTACTACTTCTCTATAGGATACTCAATTTCCTTCCTCCCTCCTCCCTCCTCCCTCCTCCCTCCTCCCTCCTACCTCCGTGTTTGTCCTCTAACTCTTTTCTTTCATCTCCTGCTTTAATCAAGCGTCTGATCACAGACCCAGGAGGACGAGGGATAATGAGATTAGGCCTGTACATGTTTACACACTCTGATTTACATTGAGCTCTGGCTGTCTTTCTCTGTCTGACTCATATTTTCTCTATCTGCCTCCTCCGTGTGCTTGCTTTTATGTCTCCAGTCTTCCTCACAGGTTTCAAATCTTCCCCTCTCCCGCTGCAGTAGCACACTCGTGCTTTGTTCACAAATAACCCGTTATGTTACCAGTGAGGTTTTGTCCGTACACTGCAGTGTCATTTTAGGTGATTTCAGTTCAGTTGACAGTCTTATAACATATCTAACTGTATTTTTTGTTATTGTTTTGCATTTGGTGGCAGTTGTGTTTTCATACAAATCACTGGATGACTTTTTATTGTGGAGCCACTGCCTTTAGAAGGGTGTGTGTAATTGTACTTGTGTGTGTGTGCGTGCACATGCTCTATACAGTGACTTATCGTATTGAGCCCTTGTACTCCAATCATCTTTCATCGAAACTGTCCTCAGTGTAGCCTATCATGTAACTCGAGAACCAATCAATTTTTACACAGTGAAGAGAAAAAGTTATTGAGGCTACATTTCCTGGTCTCAGGTTTTAGTAGCCAAGCATCGAGGGGAAGCATAGGGTCTTTGCAATAGGGGAAATTGCATTTGAAGTGCTATTGATCCACTGTGACAGAGATAAGGTGAGTGAGCCACATCTTCATGTCTGTAATCCTTAACGACTTCCGTGGTACCCAGGGCATTTTGGATACTCATTTTACATAATTGACCATATCTGCATAATTGTCCAATACTAAGCAGCTCTAATTTGAAATGTATTTTTTAAGGCCTGATCTCTGATCCAAATACAGTATAATCATGAGTGTCACACATCAAAACACTGACACCTGCCATCACTTTCATACAGACTGGACTTTTACATTTCTTCTCAATCAACCTGTGATTTTAAAGTTACATTTCTAGACTGAAATTTAGATTTTCTATCAATGTAAAACTCTTCAATTGTACATTTGAAAATATGTGTAATTTATATGATAAAGGCTATGATGTATCAATGAAATTATAGAGTTGAATATTATTTTCTGGAGTAGTACATGAACTATTTGTACTTCAATCTTCTGTTTGTTTTTAAACTATTTAAATGTCTTATAAACAACAGGTATGTGCATGTTCACCAAATAAATATTGTGATCTGGTTTGATTTTTCAATAGCGCATGACTATAATGAAGTAACAGTATGGCAGAGTTTTTGGCCTGCAGACCTGCTGTTGATCTGTAAACTCCCACGTCCTGCCTTCTACCTTATCTGTAAAGTCTGACAACACAAATGGGTTGTTTTCTGTACATTTGTGCATCACACAACTGTTTCTGTCGGCCATTTTAAATCCGCCCCTGCAGTTCATTATGAAGTACAATACATCATATTAATGGCTCTGTGACAGACACCAGTAATGTAGTAGCAGTGTAGGGACCCACTAACTCTTAACAGCTAATGCCTATGTGTCTCAGTTGGGCTGTATTTAAAGTCAACTGCAACACGCACACTCGCACACACACATAAACAAGTCACCATTTTGCCCCTGGAAACAGAGAACACTGCTAACTGTGATACAGTCTTGTGCTACTACTCCCAGTGTTATCGTAAAACAAAATCCAACTTGTTGCATCATTAGAGAAAAAAGCAGCTGCCATGATCCTAAAGATTCTGACAGCCGACAACAAGCTATTTGTTCCCAAGCGGGGCAGCTACTCAAGCAGAAAACACAAATGTGACATTATGGAAACTCTGAATTTGACTCCAGATTCCTTTTAAGGGTTTCTGACAGACATGCTAATATAAAAGGCTATCGGATGAAGTTACATGAGTGTTACAGTGTTGTCATCTAACAATAGTTTGGCTGACAAAGAGAATGCTTGTTTTTGATAGTGTTTCTGTTACGTGCTGCTATGTGGTGGCTGTTGTGGATTTATCATTGATTATTTTTAGTAATAACCTTTTCATCTAATTTTTACATATTCATTTTTGCATGTTCTCTTTTTATTGATGTTTTTATTTGAACTGTGGTCATAATAATAACTTGCACACAAATATCAAAGTATATTTCCTGAAAGGCAAGGTAGATGTGATAACTCATGTTTCTATGTTGTATCAGTGACATATTATAGCATATCTCAACAGTTTACCATAAAATACATGTCTATGGTAAGTTGCACTCAAAAGGTACAGATTGACTTAAGGTTCAAGATTTTTGGACATACAACTATTTTCGACATATTGGTTTTGCATGTTTTACTTCAATTCAAAATGAGGTGGCCTTAATTCGTCAGAGTTGTATAATTCCCATATATACTATGTAATATAAATAATGGTGCAGAAACATCACTGACTAAGAGGCTATCAAATATCTTATCCATGTGTTTTACAGAGTCCAGACTTACAGCTCAACTGCAAAGGTCAAACAGTTAAAAGGATCAATTAAATTCTAAATGATTAAATATAAATAATTGTAGAATAATAAAAGATTTCCA